TGTTATCCTCAGTTAAATATGAGAGTATGTTCTTTCAGGGATTTATTAACAATTTAGCCCTTTTCAGGTTTAAATCCAGAAAAAATATCCTATTGCACAATTTGGGGGGATAAAAATACTAGAGTAAACAAATATTTTGAGGGTCTACTATGTGCAAGAAGACAAACAAAACAAAAACTTGTGGAAGTATAAGTGTAGGGCTATGTCTTACAAACAATGATGTCCTTCAAAGCATTTACAAATGCTTTTAAAGAGGTGGGACATATACATATGTAATTCATAATTCCCAAGTAAGATTCATAAAGCATATTAGTAATCAGCATAAACAAAAAGTACTTAAGTCAAGGAAGGACTAGATGACCATATAGTATTGTACTGTGTACTCAGTCAATTGATTAATTGTCATATAAGAGAAGCTTTATGAAAGAGGTAGATTGTGATCTATACCTTAAGGGATGGAAAGGACTTGGAAAAATGGAAAGGACTTGATAGAGCTTCCCAGATGAAGGGAATAATGGGAGCCAAGATGGGGGTGAGCACAGCATGTTCTCGAGATAGTGACGATGTGGCTGGCCTGATGAAGTTAAGGGTTTAAACTGGGGAGTAGTGGAATCAAGCTTTGTAAGTAGGATTTGGCCAATTTATGGACGGGTTTGAAAGCTAATCAGTGGAATTTGAATTTCTTCCAGGTACCTCTTAGGAGCAAGTAAAGGGAAGTGATGTCAAGAAAATGCTGTTTGGGGAGGATGAAAGGTATTGTACAGCTTGGGAGGAACGGGGAGAGACTGACACAGAGAAATCTTGCAGTAAGCCAAGTGAGAAGTAATAAAGACCCAATAAGCGTGCTGTCAGAGAGAACGAAAAGGAAGGGATAGATAAACCGGATGCTTTGAATTTGAAAATGAAAAAAAGCACAAAACTTTTAGATCATGTGGTACAGGAGGGCAGTGTCTGCAGATTAAGTCATTTATATAATGTCTTAGAGAACTATGAGCCCTGAGCAAGTTTTTAAAGAAAATTCTGAAAGTCTTACTTTTTAAAAAAAAAATTTATTTTATTTATTTATTTTTGGCTGCGTTGCATCTTCGTTGCTGCACGCAGGTTTTCTCCAGTTGCAGTGAGCGGGGGCTACTCTTCGTGGCAGTGCACAGGCTTCTCATTGCAGTGGAGCACAGGCTCTAGGCGTGTGGGCTCAGTAGTTGTGGCTCACAGGCTCTAGAGCACAGGCTCAATAGTTGTGGTGCACGGGCTTAGTTGCTCCGTGGCATGTGGGGTCTTCCCGGACCAGGGATCGAACCTGTGTCCCCTGCGTTGGCAGGCGGATTCTTAACCACTGCACCACCAGGGAAGCTCCTGAAAGTCTTACTTTTAATCTACTCATAGTTTCACTGGTATAAAAAAATATTTATTGAGTACCTGTTATGTGGCAGACGCTGTTCTAGGAATATCAGAATGAACTGGGGATATACCATGATCAAAACACAAAATCAGGGCTTCCCTGTCCAGAGCCTGTGCTCTGCAGCGGGAGAGGCCACGACAGTGAGAGGCCCGCGTACCGCAAAAAAAAAAATCAGTAGGAACAATTGTGATTGTCCTGTGACCTTTAAATTTTTTGTCAGAACATTAAAAACTGTCTTACTGCCAGTTATAAATGTATAGGAAAATGAAAAACAGTAAGACCAATATTTACTTAGTACACTGCATTAGAAACATTGGAAATGAAAGTATTTTATTTTTCTGTAAAAAACTTATTAAGAGTAAACAGTTTTCACCGTCTTCTTTTTGTCCTGTAACTTACCATACAGAGTGATCATCTTTCTATGACTTAGTGAATTGTCATACTTCTAAATTTAGATCAGCTTCCAACCTTTTATCCTTTGTATTTTTTTAAAAATAAATTTATTTATTTATTTTTGGCTGCGTTGGGTCTTCGCTGCTGCGTGTGGGCTTTCTCTAGTTGCAGTGAATGGAGGCTACTCTTCGTTGCAGTGCGAGGGCTTCATTGTGGTGGCTCCTCTCATTGCGGAGCACGGGCTTTAGGCGCGCGGGCTTCAGTAGTTGTGGTGCATGGGCTTAGTTGCTCCACGGCATGTGGGATCTTCCCGGACCAGGGCTCAAACCCGTGTCCCCTGCATTGGCAGGCAGATTCTTAACCGCTGTGCCACCAGGGAAGTCCTCCAAGAGTTCTTTTAAAATGAAATTTTTTTGCCAGTATTACTTCTTCTAGGACACCATTATCTGCTTTGTCAACAACCACTGTCTTCTTTAAGTCACAAAGTTCACCTGCACCAAAGTCAGCTGGCTGCAGATCTAGAGTCTCTTCACTGGTGGCACTGTCAACATTCCCATGCTCATCTACTTCTTCTAGAGCTTCATTCTGTTCAACTCAAATTCCACTTTTGGCATTATCACTTTTAATTCTTTGCTACATTTTCATTTTTGTTGGCCAGTGCCCTCTCTCAGTCATCTATTTTTGTAAAATACTATGTAGATTTATCACTGGAAGACAGGAGGTAAGACAACCACAAGCTTTGTTGTCTAAATGTGAACTGAATAACAGATGCACAGTGACCAATCACCAAGGACTTTGAAAGAAGAGACATGATGGGTCACTGACCTTGATGCTCATCTGTTATTTATGTAGTGATTTGTGGACTGAAGAGCTAGAGGGCGAAATTTCTATTTTATGCAATTATTCACAGTTAATTTACCATAGTAATTGAAATCTGAACTCTGTTTGAAGGATTGGTGTTATTTAACAAAATGGTGGTAACTGAAATTCATGCATATTGGAAACATTCAAAGAAAGGATTGTCCATGTATTTTTATACTTGAAAATCTTTTATTAGTCACCTCTTAAGCTTCTCTGCAACAAAAATGTACACAAATTAGAATTTTAACTGTTTTATGTCCTTGATTCTTAGGTAGTAAAAGAAATTCTGAGCTGATTAACATTACAATTATTACTATAATTGACCAAACAACATAAATATGTTTAAATCAAAAGTAAAAATTTATCAAAAATTATTTCAGTCTGATGAATTGGGCTATTTTCCTTTCATTGAGACCATATATCTTTGGCTGATTATTGTTTTCTGCTGGCATGGGACAGAGTTTAGGATCAGTAATATTCCTGTTTTTCATTTCTATAGATATAATCCCTGAGAAAATGTGTTCATAAAGACAACTAGATGGGAATGAGAGGAATTTTATTATAGCAGTGCCACTCATTTTGTGGATTCTTTCCAAGTTATTTGTCAAAAATGCTCTTTAACTTTTGTTGAAAACAAGGAATTGGAAACATTCTGACTTGTGAAAGCACTTGTTACCCAGTCATCAGAATGTTTTCTTTATTTTCCCAGAAGCATACCAAAAAGGCTTTGCCAAGACATAGCAACTCCAAGGCAGCCACACATACCTACCTGTGCTGGTTGTATACTGTACAACTCCTGAGACAGTGTTCACATGGCACTCTACTTGAATGGAATGAGCTGGAATTATGCAGTGCACAACTTAACACAGCTGTATGTGGTGGCCTTATAAATTACACCTATTTTTTTTTTACTTAACACCAACTTGTTCTATCCAGTACGTTAAATGAAGTACACAAAATTTTCTGTATATACTGGCACATTTACATATATTGATAATGATTACCACAATTAGCATACCGAACATTTAATGACATAGCAATACTTAGTGGAAAGATGTATTAATAAGGTAAAAACAACAAATAAAATTGTTATTTTTAGAAACCAAGTCTTTTGAAAAGCTCAGTATGATGTCAAAAGGACTCCAACTCCATGCCAAGCTCAGTATCTGCCAAGAGTCTTTATGTCTCATCTCCATGGTGGCTCTTTATTTCCCTAAGACTTGGATTCACAGATGGCACACTTGTTTTCTTGAACAGTGTCATTAATTTATTTAACTTATGAATGCTAATTACATGTTTCTGAGTGCATCGAATCTATTAGCATTTGCGGTGGTCTTTTTGATAAAGCATGTGGTAAAGAGGAACTGCTCCTGCCCATACCCTTCAGGACCTGCTCTTCTCTTGGCAGGTTGAAGCAGTCTAATACATACTGATATGCACTTTTTGGGGTCTTTTTTTTTGAGATATAATTGACGTATAGCCCATATACACTTTTAAGCAATAATTCACAACCAGGGAACAGCAGGCAATGGAAGCAAAAGTATGAATTGGGCTCTGCAGCAATCTGAAATAACAGAACAAATGACAATATAGTGAATTCTGTTATTCGAGAATCATTTATTACATGCTGTTATGATTCTAGAAGCCCCTCATCTGAGTTAGGTAGAGCCTATATTTACTATACATCAAACTTGGCACCATAGCCACAAACAGCCATTGCCACACTTCAATGACAACCATTGGAAAGAATGCCCCATCTTCAATCAATCGCAATTGTGTCCTTGAATGACAACACCAACAATAACATCACTATCCATGAAGGACAAAGTGTCTGTAATTACAGTTAACTACAAAGATCATGATTTTTGAAGAAATGTTAATAAGATATTAATTTCAAAATTGAGGTTGTAATGGAGAATTAAGTGTAAATATCCTTTCATTATAATAGTTAACATTTATATACCACATCCTAAGTGCTTTCACTGTCATAATAATTTTATCTTTCCAATATCCTTATGTTAGTTGAGAAAGTACTGATATTTTCTGTTTTACAAGAAGTCAGAAAACTCAGGATCAGAGAAGTTTAGTTAAGCTACATGATTAGATAAGTGGCAGAGAAGAATCTTAACCCTGAAACAAAATTTCATATACTTTTCTTCTCTACTAAACTGTTTAGCAGATGTTGAGATAGTAAACCTTTCATTTTTTTTCCATTTTGGGTCCAACATACGTTCTTCTTCTTCTTTTTTTTTTTTTAAAAATATATGTATTTATTTAGGCTGCACCGGGTCTTAGTTGTGGCACTTCAGGATCTTCGTTGTGGCATGCATGCAGGGTCTAGTTTCCCAACCAGGCATCGAACCCCAGCCCCCTGCATTGGAAGCGCGGCATCTTACCCACTGGACCACCAAGGAAGTCCCCAACAGTATGTTCTTCTAATTGTGCGAAAGAATCACCTGATGCCCTTGACTAGAATGCAGATTCTAGTATCCCACATAATTCAGTTGAGGTAGTCTGACATGTGGAATTAAAATAAAATCACCCAAATGAGAACGGAGGCCATTTATTCAGATCTTGCTATAGCAAGAGAGTCAGGACCATCATTTGCCTTTGATAGAAGCTCAAAGGCAGATAGGGGAGCGGGAAAGCTTTATAAAAGTGGAAAAAAGGGGAAGGTCTCAGTTATACGTTGGAGGTTGTTGGCCTGGGAAAGCTGGAGTCCAGCTACTAGAATCAGAGAGTATTTTATGTGATTGGTTTGGGGAGCATATTTGGCTTTCTCTGACTGGTCCCAAGTTGAAAGTAGGGGTAAAAATAGGGAAGTTGGCAGTCATTGACCACCTCCTTACTGTTCTGGTGCAATTGCTGCAGAAGTTGTGGTTTGGCTTCCTGGACTTCTTATGTTGTTCAGACTTCTTTTGTCATATACAGTCTGGCCATTGTCTGTTTGTATATTGTCTCTCAGACCATATTCTGAGAAACACACTGGGCCTCTGGTATTCCTTTCATCCTGGTCTCCTTCCTCCCTTAAGCTGGCTAGACTATAAACTCCGCGCGAGCTATGGACCATCTTTCACCACGCTATTACCAGTGCCTAGGCACTCAATAAAATCTTGCATATGAATGAATGGTAAATGAAAATATTTGATATTGCCTTTTGTAGGAACAAGAACATGAACTTTCTGGTGTAGCATATGTATGTCTTGACTGGACTGGCTGCCACCAGGAAGAAAGGCTGGAGGCTGCTCCTTCCAGCTACTCTGTTCTAAATACTGTAACCTGAATCCTTGGCCCTGGCTGCTTTCAGTTTTTCTCAAAGCTCCAAGTTAACCCACAGTGTACACATCAGGCCCAGGGGCTTCCCCAGCACTCCTCCAGAGTGCTCTGCTGGGGGCGGGATGGAGTTCGTGGGAAAGCGGCAACTACTTCTAGCATTTTGAAGGCAACCTGAACCCCAGACCTTTAAGTTTGCTGCATTCTCTCCAACCCCGACCCCCAATTCCACTCCACCATTAGGGCCTGGGCTGGGGAGAGCTACTGAAAGAGGGAAAAGGGGGCCCCCCAGCCCCCATATATGGTCCTAATTCAGGACTTAGAGCGTTTGTCTAGAGAGAAAACGCTCGGCAGTGTCTGTGTATGGGGTGGGGATGGGGGACAGGTCCCGGGAGAAGGGCAGAAGCTAGCAGCGCGGGCGGTCTCCTCGGGGAAGCCGTCCCACCTGCTGCTTGGGAGCCCGCCGGGGAGGGGCCGCAGCCACGCACCCGCGCGCCCACCCCGCCCCTGCACGCAGCGCGGCCCCTCCAGCCGGGAGTTCCCGCGAGCTGCCCCGCGCCCCAGGCGCGTGGGGGGCCGTTCGGTTGGAGGCGGGGAGCAGCCGGGGCACCAAAATAGGAGCCGCTTGTGGCCTGGAGCTGCACTAGCAGGCAGCCTCCGCCGCGCCTCTTCCAAAGATGGTCAGAGGGTCCGGAGGCGCCCCCGCCCCCGCTCGCCGCTAGCCCGCGGGCCCGCAGCGCAACCCGGAGCCGCCGCGGGAGGTGAGTGCGGGCAAGGCCAGCCGGCGGGGAGCTAGCGGGGCCGGGCGCGGGGGAGCGAAGCCAGCCCGCGGCAGAGGCGCGGAGACAATGGCCGCGCGGGCGGCGGGCCGGGCCGAGCGCGGGCCGTCAGCGGCGCCCTCCCCACACCTGTGCGGCGTCCCGGGGTGGAGGGACGCGGGCGCCCGACCCGGCGGCGGCGCGCGGCGCCCTCGAGGCGAGTCCCCATGCCAGGCCCCCAGGCGGGGCGGTCTCCGGGCGGAAACGCGGGCCGGGGGCCGGGCGCGCGGAAAGCCCTGCGGCAGCCGGGGAGGGGGCACGCGGATGGAGGGGCCGCCGTCCGGCCGTTTTCCTTTCCGTCCTTCCTTGAGCAGAAAGGCACAGGATTTCCCTTTTCCGAGATTTCTTCTATCCAGTTATATTTCGATCATCCCTTTCCTGGCATCTCGATTCGACTTGAAAGGGAGACGGAACTCGGGGAAAAGGTTGAGTTGGGGCCGAGCCGAGACGGCCAAGGTCCAGCTTCGAGTGGGGTGACCTCTTGGACACTTGGTTTGCCAAGTGGGGGCTCTCTGTAGGACCGGCAGCTCGGGGCAGATTTCGGAGACTGGGTGAATGGGGTAGCAAATCAATATTTCTTCTCGAAAGGACCCCTGAGCAATCCGGGGGCCTCATATCAGACTCCGAGCTACCCTGCATTGAAATTGACCATCATATAAATTATGAAATAGTGTGTCCACATTTTGCATTTGTGACAGAGTGCTGAACTTAGTCTAGTTTTGTATATTCGATGCTAATCAATCATTATAATGACAGGAATATTTAGCATTGATTATGAGGTAATGCGCACAATTGAAAACACGTTTATTGTTTCATATTTATTGCAGCCATGGCTCTAAAAGGACAAGAAGATTATATTTACCTTTTCAAGGATTCGACGCATCCAGTGGATTTTCTGGATGCATTCAAAACATTTTACTTGGATGGATTATTTACTGATATTACCCTTCAGTGTCCTTCAGGCATAATCTTCCATTGTCACCGAGCTGTTTTAGCTGCTTGCAGCAATTATTTTAAAGCAATGTTCACAGCTGACATGAAAGAAAAATTTAAAAATAAAATTAAAATCTCTGGCATCCAACATGATATCTTGGAAGGCCTTGTAAATTATGCGTACACGTCCCAAATTGAGATAACTAAAAGAAATGTTCAAAGCCTGCTTGAAGCAGCAGATCTGCTACAATTCCTTTCAGTAAAGAAAGCATGTGAGCAGTTTTTGGTAAGGCACTTGGATATTGATAATTGTATTGGAATGCACTCCTTTGCAGAATTTCACGTGTGTCCAGAACTAGAGAAGGAATCTCGAAGAATTCTATGCTCAAGGTTTAAGGAAGTATGGCAACAAGAAGAATTTCTGGAAATAAGCCTTGAAAAGTTTCTCTTTATCTTGTCCAGAAAGAATCTCAGTGTTTGGAAAGAAGAAGCTGTCATAGAGCCAGTTATCAAGTGGACTGCTCATGATGTAGAAAATCGAATTGAATGCCTGTATAATCTACTAAGCTATATCAACATAGATATAGATCCAGTGTATTTAAAAACAGCTTTGGGCCTTCAAAGAAGCTGCCTGTTAACCGAAAATAAGATCCGATCTCTCATATACAATGCTTTGAATCCCATGCATAAAGAGATTTCTCAGAGGTCCACAGCCACAATGTATATCATTGGAGGCTATTACTGGCATCCTTTATCAGAGGTGCACGTATGGGATCCTTTGACAAATGTTTGGATCCAGGGAGCAGAAATACCAGATTACACTAGGGAGAGCTATGGTGTTACATGTTTGGGACCCAATATTTATGTAACTGGAGGTTACAGAACGGATAACATAGAAGCTCTTGACACAGTGTGGATCTATAACAGTGAAAGTGATGAATGGACAGAAGGTTTGCCAATGCTCAACGCCAGGTATTACCACTGTGCAGTCACCTTGGGTGGCTGTGTCTATGCTTTAGGTGGTTACAGAAAAGGGGCTCCAGCAGAAGAGGCCGAGTTCTATGATCCATTAAAAGAGAAATGGATTCCTATTGCAAACATGATTAAAGGTAAGTGCAGATTGTGTTTATTCTGTAATTTTTAGGTGTTGGAGGTTAGGCCACGGATCTCTCAGTTCTCTCACAGATAACGTTAAAAAGAATTTATCACTTTGGAATGCTACCTAGGAACTATAGTGGCTTATACAAATAATGTTACACAGAATGTTCCAAGTGAAAATATAGTATGGCAGTCCCCAACTTGACTGAGAATTATGTGATCAGAGTATGCTACCCAGGCTAGAAAAGAAATATTATTTATATAAGAAAACAGTATAATTCATTCTTCTTATTGTACAGCCTGTTTTGAATCTACATCTTGCTTTGAGTCTTAAGAATTTATATTTAAATCAAAGGCTAAATGAAAAGAGAAAGCTGGGTAGTTTTATTCATGTTTAATTTTCTATTTTTTTGCTTGCTCTTGACATTGAACCTTTTTGATTCTGCTTTTAAATATTCAGCTTTTTTTCCTCTCATCATCTGATCATCTGTCTTTTAAAAGGTCTTTCATTGAAACCTTGAAAGGTTTGGTCCCTATAGGGTGTAACAACTTACATTCTCTCAAAAACTAGAGACAAACAACCTCTGCTCTTTGGAATTCCAGTCTTGTCTTAGAGGGAAAAGGAGAGGGGCAGGTCCCCTACCTCCCACACGTGGCCCACACAGTGGCTTTTGGATCTCAGCATCTGTCTGATAAACACTGTATTTTCTGCTGTGTTTGGTACTAGATTAGCCTTGTCTTTCTCTCCCACTGTAAAAAAAGTTAGGCTAGAATCTCACTTATTTCAGTACATTTATTCATTGGTGCTGGGGAGGTGCACACAAACTGGTACGTTGTTACCAAATTTGAGTCATTTTATTCCAGATGTTTCTTCCCAGGCTTTTCTGTTTCTTTTTTAATGCTAGTGGGGGTGTGGGAATCTGACCTGGTCTGGGAATCTGACCCGGTGTGATTCTTGGATGAGAACAGGAAGCCTGAGAGGCAGAATGGCCTTGTTGTGACCAGACATGCTTGCTTCTGAAGTCAAACTGCCTGGATCCAAATCCTGACTTTCACCTCACTTGCTGGTGAGCTTGGGCAAATGGTTTAATCTCCCTGTGCCCCAGTTTTGCCATCTGTACAATGGGGGTCACAATATTACATAGCTTAGTTCTGAAAGGATTAATTGAGTTTATTCATGTGAAGTGCTTAGAGCCGTGCCTGGCACAGAGTAATAAGCACTCAGTAAGTGTTAGGCATTATAGTCATGAACATCTTATAGAAGAACATGTCAGCTTTGACAGGGCAGAAATATCTTTCATATTCAATTACAGCCGCTCTCCTGCACGTCCGAAGATTGCGAAGTAGTTGGCAGCTTGGGAGAAGGTGGCTTAATGCCCGCTGCAATAGCTGCTCTGGTTTTTGACTCTGCCAGAGCTTGACCCCCCCAATTTACGAATTCCCCCAGTCCTCTCCCCAGGGTGGCTCTTAATGTCCTGACTCCTTTCCTACAAAAGAAGCAAGGAAAGTTCAAATATTTTAGCAGCTGTTGTAAACCTGGATATATTTCTCCCTCTGTTTCTTAATGATAAGATCACAATTTCAGTGGTTCTGCAGTTTAGAGTATATTTCTTTGAGGATTGAAATGTATTACTTTACTGAAATGTTGTTAAATCATGTGTGAAACAGTGCTTCCTGAAAAGAAAATGCTGCAATGGTGTATCCATTGTAAAGAAGGCCACACGTGTTCTTGCCTTAGCCTTGAGTGGAATGGAAGACCCTCGTATGCTGAAGTCTTCCCCTACTCCCCAGCTGGGTCTGAAATTCCAGAGTTTTATACTTTTTTTTTTTTTTTTTGCGGTACGCGGGCCTCTCACTGTTGTGGTCTTTCCCGTTGTGGAGCACAGGCTCCGGACGCACAAGCTCAGCGGCCATGGCTCACGGGCCCAGCCGCTCCACGGCATGTGCGATCTTCCCGGACTGGGGCACGAACCCGTGTCCCCTGCATCGGCAGGCAGACTCTCAACCACTGCGCCACCAGGGAAGCCCCAGAGTTTTATACTTTTAACTTAAGTTTTGATTCCTGATTATATCTGACCATCCCAGGGAAGGGTAACACTTTTGTCAGTTATGTGCACTTTTTGCTAGTACTGGTTCTGATGGGTGGACTCATGCTGAACTTTAAGTTTCCCATTTGTCTCTAGAAAGGATAACACTATGTTCCCCAGTTTGTTTTATTTTGTAGCCATAAAGTGAACTAGCAGCTTTCCCTGGTAATGAGCACCTAAATTGGGCAGAGTCAAATTTCAAATTCATTTCCTTTTTCAGTTTACGGGTATACAGAGAAGAAATAAATACTCGGCTGTTTAGAAAGTCCTAACTTTTTTTCCCCCTCATCATAACTGCCCTGCTTATAAACTCACTCTTGTTTTGGAGTAGAAATGCACAGGGAGATTGAACTGCACCGGCCCATCTAATAGGCTAAGTAAAAAGTTGGTTGAAAGACTTAAAACTGACATTTTCAACTAAAACGAGCCTCCTCATCTTTCTTCCTCACGTCTTCTTCCCCTGCTGAATCCATTTCTTCCTTATTTTTCTGTGGCATCAGTGTTTCCCAGTTTTCCGAGCTCAGGACCTCAGAATGAGTCTTGTTTGTCTTGGATGCAGTCAGTCATCAAGGCCCATCTGTTCTGCCGGTGTCTCTTACCTTGGTATCCTTCCCTCTGACTCAAGGCCCAGTCTAAAGTCATGCCCTCAGTACTTCGCACCTGGGCCAATACCTAGCTCTTTCTGACTCTTGCCCTTCTACTCCTATAGTCCCCCCCTTCCTCTCTTGAAAAAACCTTAAAAGTCCTGCTAAATTAAGTCCATGTTTCTTAGTTGGGCATCAGGATCCTTTGCCGTGTGGCTTCAGTTTACCACGTCAGCTTTAATTCCCACACGACAGCCCCAGGTGTGCCACCTGCCTTGCCCAAGTGCTGGGAATCAAACTTGGCTACATGACATTGTCCAATAAGCACTCACCTTTCCCTCTGCCTAGGATGGCTTCCTCTCACCTGTGCCTGCCAAAGGCTACCTACTGAGGCCCAGGACAAATTCTGCCACTGCCTGCCATGATTCCCTTAGTCAAAGCAGTGTCTCCTTGCTCTGAACGTTCATAGGAGTTCTCTACCCTGTGTTCCAATTATTTGTGTAAATGTCTCACCCCTTTTAAAAAAAGGTGCAGGGAGCCTTTTTTTTTTTCTTATTCTTCTATCCTTCATAGCATCTAGCACAATGCCTTGCATCTACTGTCAATAATAACAAAAGCAATAATAATCTTAGTCCAATATTCATTGCAAAACCAAATGAAAGTGCAATCTGAAGATGTGATTTTAATTAACACACAGGCGTGGGAAATGCTACTGCCTGTGTCTTACATGAAGTTATCTACGTCATTGGCGGCCACTGCGGATACAGAGGAAGCTGCACCTATGACAAGGTCCAGAGCTACAATTCAGATATCAATGAATGGAGCCTCATCACCTCCAGTCCACATCCAGGTAACAAATTACTGTCTCAAATAGTACATTGTGATGCATCTTATCAGCATAAGAGATGGCTAAAAATGGGCTGGAAGTAGAAAGTGCTAAATTTGTAGTAGGCTACACATGGGTATAATTAAAGGCTCAAAATATTCACATGTTCATCTAACAATAATCACAATTAGCTATTCCAACTAGATGACATCTACAAATACTTTCCCTAATGTCTTTACATGACACATATTTTAAGACTGTGTGGTTAAAAGAATTAGTTTCTTCATAAATTTTTTTTTTTTTGGCGGTACGCGGGCCTCTCATTGCTGTGGCCTCTCCCGCTGCGGAGCGCAGGCTCCGGACGCGCAGGCTCCGTGGCCATGGTTCACGGGCCCAGCTGCTCCGCGGCACGTGGGATCTTCCCGGACCGGGGCACGAACCCGCGTCCCCTGCATCGGCAGGCGGACTCTCAACCACTGTGCCACCAGGGAAGCCCCATAAATTGTTTTAATGAGATTCTATTTTTGTGTTTCCTATTCCTTAGTTATATGCTTTCTTTCATTTACTACATGCATTATATAAAACACAATTTTTATTGACAGTTAAAAACCACTAGTCTGAAATAGTTGGGAAGGATACCTGTTGATTCAGTTCAGCAAGAAATGATTTTTTTTTAGAAGCATGTTCTTTCTGGGTTTCAATAGCTATTAAACACTTACTCCTGTGATGTGGAGGGCCCTGTGTTGGCCTTAACAGCTGCCTACCCACAAAGAATGGCCTGCCTTCTGTGGTGTCCTTTGTTCTTTGACTTGTCTCTTTGGGTAGAGCTCAGGGGGAAGGATAAACCTGTTACAGTTACCTGGTTAAGGTTAAGCCATCTGATTAAGGTTTTTTTCATTAGGAAAGATTCATATCACCATATCACCATACTACTTCGAATCATTTTCCATATAGCATCCGGCTTCTGTGTGAGTCACTGGAGAGCATAGTTGGAATTCACGAGCTTGAACCATCTGAGAATAATAATGATAGGTAACCTTGAGCACTTTCCATAGGTCAGGTACTGACTGAGCGCTTTGCATGTAATATTACCTTAAATTCTAACTACATCCTGTAAGTATTGTTTACCCCTGTTTTACATATTTGTAAAGGCTTAGAAAGGATAAGTAGCTTTGCCAAGGTCACAGTTTGGAAGTGGTGGATCAGGATTCAAAGTCAGGCAGTTTGATTGCATTGACCTGTGCTATGACCGATAAGCAATCCGCCTGTCCATAAGGGAACAGGCTCTCCTACTTTTGACCAATGCAGCTAGTTCCACCATACATCATATATGTCATCTCACGGTTCAGGGGGAGCACACCTGAATCTGGTGCTGTGTCTCCATATACCACAGGACTTACACAAGGAGGGACTTCAGCCATATGCTGTCCTGGCTCTGAAGACATCTTAGAGGTAGACTTTCGTCTCCAAGTAGTTCAGATGTATTATCCCAGACTCCCCGCAACTTTCTGTGATAACTAATGAAATTATAATAGAAAATAATAATAACTGTCATACTGAGTACAGGCATACCTTGTTTTATTGTGCTTCACTTTATTGTACTTTGCAGATACTGCATTTTTTACAAATTGAAGGTTTGTGGCAGCCCTGCCTTGAGAATTCTATCGGTGCCATTTTTCCAACAGCATTTGCTCACTTTGTGTCTTGTCACATTTTGGTTATTCTCGCAGTGTTTCAAACTTTTTCATTATTATTACATTTGTTATTGTAATCTGTGATCAGTGATCTTTGATGTTCTTTTGTAATTGAATTGGCATTTTTTAGCAATAAAATATTTTGAAATTAAGGTATATTGTTTTTTTAGACATAAAAAATATGCTATTGCACACTTAATAGTCTACTGTATAGTATAAACATAACTTTTATATGCCCTGGAAAACCAAAAAATTTGTGTGATGCTTTACTGTGATATTCACTTTATTACCGTGCTCTGGAACCCAACCTGCGGTATCGTCAAGGTATGCCTGTAATAGCTAACATTTATTCAATAAGTATGTACCAGGCACTAACTATTCCAATACTTTTATCTGTATTAATCCTTTGAAACCTCACAGCAATCCTGTGAGCTAGGTACTGCTACTATTTTATAGGTCACTGAGGCACACAGAGAGTGAATATATTGCCCAAGGTCAGCTAGCTAGGGTTTGTTGTGAGATTCAAATCCAGGCAGTCTAGCTGGGAGCTCATGCTCTTAACAACTACACTGTTACTTCATTTGATCCTCATGTTAACCTTATGAGTTAGATACTTCTCTGACTTATCTTTACAAAGAAAATCTAACATATGAAAAGTCAGATTAACAAATCAGAGGGCAGTTGTTTACATTACAAACTTAATTTATATTTCATAAAGAGATTCCTTTAAAAATAAATGTCTCGAGGGACTTCTGTGGTGGCTCAGTGGTTAAGAATCCGCCTGCCAATGCAGGGGACACGGGTTTGATCCCTGGTCTGGGAAGATCCCACATGCCGCGGAGCAACTAAGCCTGTGCACCACAGCTACTGAGCCTGTGCTCAAGAGCCCACAAGCCACAACTACTGAAGCCTGTGTGCTTAGAGCCCATGCTCTGCAGCAAGAGAAGCCCACACTCACTGCAACTAGAGAAAGCTGGTGCATAGCAATGAAGACCCAACGCGGCCAAAACTAAAATAAGTAAATTAATTAATTTAAAAGTAAATATAGAGATGAAGGTCTCATACTTAAATTGGGTATAGCTTGTTAACTGCTTGAAAGAGAGTTTAAAAGGTAGTGAGACTTAAGCCAAAGTATGTAAAGCCATGGGAAACCAAAAAATCAATTAGAAATGAGTATTAGGATTCCATATAGAGCATTTTGATTCACATTGGACATTTTCCTGACATAATGTGAGAAACAAAGTGATCAAATTAGCACCCTACGTGGTATCTTCTATTTGGCTCTCACAGTGTTCAAAATATTTTTTAACTGGCTTGTTACCAATATTTAAAATTCAGGAGATTTCAAATAAAAATCATGATTTCTGGCCTTTAGAAAAATTGCAAGATCTGGCAACCTTGGATCATATTCCTTCCTGGCAACAATTATTGGTGCCAAGTAGTGGCTGTTCCCTTTAGATGAGGCTTATATGCTCCGTTTCACCACAGTCTCTTCCATTCTCATCACATCATAGACTTGGGAGGCCTGTGCTGCTGTTCTTCTTACCCCTAGCCCGGTTCATTCAGATAGTCTGTTATCTCCTTGGCCCTGGAAGGCATTTAGACCTACATCCTCTGAATTATAGCAAGTAATGCCTCTTATGCATTTTAGGAGCACCTCCTGAAGAATGTAAATGTCAGTCTTGAGTCTACCTTATAGATATGTAGCTTAGACCACAAAGAAATGACTACTGTTATTTTTATTTTTATTTATTTATTTTTTAACTGTTATTTTTAAAAGGTAATCTAAATGTTATCTTTTTTCTTAATGCTTTTAAGGGTGGTTGCTTGGTATAGTTGAAAAACAGGGGACTATAATCCCATTAAATTTAAGATAACATTTATTGAGACCTTACCTTGGGAAAGATACCATTCTATCGAAGATGATTAATTTTACTGCCAGAGGAACTCAGTATCTAGTAGTAAATACACATACATAACAGGAATACAAGACAGTCTTACAAATAAGTGCTACTGAAATTGAGGGTAGAGAGAGCTTCAGTCTAATTAAGGGGACCCTGACAATCTTAGAAGGCTTCCAGGCGTAGGCTGTTATGATTTGGGCCTTAAGGAATAGCTACAATTAAGGAAGGTAGTTTTTGAGGAAGAGCACTCTGGCAGAAAGTTAGCCAGTGAAGGAAGGCTGAAGGGAAATTTCCAGGTTCATTCCAGTTCCTGGGAGTAAAAGTATATTATTGAGATGCAATAGGGTAGGATGAGAGACTGGATAGGAGAGTTCAGTTGAAGAGCATGTCATGGAGGGCTTTGAATGGCAGTCTGGAGAATTTTAAAATAGAGAGCTTAAAGTTTTCAGAGCAAGAGAATGATGCGTGATCAGTTCTAGCTTCAAGAAAAGAACTCCTTTGAGAATAGACTGGGAGAAAGATGGCAGGGAGATCTTCTAAAGCTATTGTAATAAACCAGGTGAGAAATACTGAAAGCCTGAAGTGGTAGGAGTAGAAAACAGGCAGGTGTGAGGAATGTTACAGATTCACCATTGATTGAATGGTAGTGATTGCTCCCTTGGGTGATTGGACATTGGCGATGAGGACGAGAAAGGAATTGACAGTCATTCTAGGCTCTCTGGCTGATTGACTAGGAGCATTGAAGTAGCAACCAGTGGGAGGGGAGAAGAGGAGAGATGATGAACTCAGTTTTGTAGTGAAATGTCAAGGACCAGTTAGATAACTCAGAAGAGCCGTCCAGCAAGCGATGGGAAGTGTGGTTCTGCAGCTCAGGAGGAAGAATGCAGCTAAATACAGAGATCTGTGAATTGTTTGCTTAGAGATGATGACTATGTGTGGAGGTGAATGAGATGCCTTGGGAGGTTGGGACCAACAACACAGTAGTGAGCAGAATCTTGGGAAACAGCATTAGTTAAAGGATGAGCTGAGGAAGAAGAGTGCATGAAGAACCCGGGAGAAGCAGTAAGTGATAGAGAGGGAAAATCCGTGGAGAGCTGTGTCCAGTGGGAACAACGTTCTCTCCTGGCTTTGCTATTTATTTACTTGTGTAATCTTGGGCAGCAGCTTAAGCTCTTGGGTCTTACTTTCTAGCAAAATAAGGAAGTTAGATTAGATAAGCTTTACAGGTCTTTTCAGTGAGAAAAAAAATCTTAGGTAAAAATCTTAAAGTATTTCAATGGATATTGAATACCTGAAAATATTGTGGTTGTCTCTGAATCCCTGCATGGCTTTGTTCCTATCACTCATGTAACACTGAATACAGACTGCCATGTATTTATAGTGCGTATTTGTGTGTAAACTCTTTTGAGCCATGACAGATGGTGCT